GCACACACACACACACACACACACACACACACACACACACACACACACACACACACACACACACACACACGTGTGGCAGTGTATGATGCCATGTTGTAGCGGTGCGAGGCCATTGCCTGTATTAGCCCCATAAGGCCCCATTTTTGCAGCCCGTCGGCCACCCTAAGTGAAGGCAGGCTCGACGAGGCCCTCAGGGCCCTTTTCTGGCCACTACGCAACTGCAAGGAAGATGAACAATATCGAACTCCAGCAATCAAACAGCATCATACATACGAGTCCAGATAGTCTTGACCTCGAACCAACAGCAGAATTGCATCACGAGATACACCAAATAAGAACACACCAAGACTTCATAATTGACAATGCTGAAGTAGTCCCATCATAAACGAAGAACCAGAGTTGATATCCTATCTGGCGCTCGGCGCCCAGACTACATGTGGCAGATCCTATCTAGCCTATATTACAAAGCCGAAAGATGACATCAACAGCATTCCCGAAGTACGAGCATATGGCGACCAATGTCGCACGCTTCCAGCACCATGTCTCGCGCCACACTCACAACCTCGTTCCCCAACACACAGATGCCCCTAGCACCCAAGGACCACCCTGCGCCACACCCAGCTCACAGCGGAGCAGCTCGGCTATGGCTGCCCGCTCCTTCCCTGCTCGGCCGTGAGAGCGTAGGCGCCAGCCAGCAAATAGCGCAGCAGCAGCGCTTGCGCAGCATGCAGCCAGCACCCGAATGCCGAATGAGGAGGCAGGCCCTTCCCTATATCGAAGTGGCCTGCCTGCGTCCAGTCCAGGAAGCTTCCAGTAGGCCCCGGTAGCCTGAGGCCCAGCACGAGAGGAGCAGGCCTTGGGCCTGAAGTGGTTGCATGTGCCCAACTGCTTTCGGCCTGTGTTTGGCCCGGTACCCGTATCCAGCCCAGGGCCTGGGTTTACTCAACCAACTGGCACTGCGCAGCTGCCTGAATTTCCTTGAGTTGCGTGGTGGCCGAAAAAGGGCCCTGAGGGCCTCGTCGAGCTTGCCTTCACTTAGGGCGGCCGACGGGCTGCAAAAATGAGGCCTTGTGAGGCTCTTAGAGGCAGTGGCCTCGCACAACTCAGGGAAATTCAGGCAGTTGCGCAGCGCCAGTTGGTTGAGTGAACCCAGGCCCTGGGCCGCCTGTGTGAATGAATGTGAAGCAGGCCTTGGGCTGGATACGGGTACCGGGCCAAACAAAGGCCGAAGGCAGTTGGGCACATGCAACCACTACAGGCCCAGGGCCTGCTCTCGTCGTGCTGGGCCTCAGGCTACCGGGGCCTACTGGAAGCTCCCTGGGACTGGACGCAGGCAGGCCACTTCGATATAGAGAGGGGCCTGCCTCCTCATTCGGCATTCGGGTGCTGGCTGCATGCTGCGCAAGCGCTGCTGCTGCGCTATTTGCTGGCTGGCGCCTACACTCTCACGGGCGAGCAGGGAAGGAGCA